TTTCAATCTGGCAAGCGCCCGCACCCTATAGCAAAACCTTCTCAAAAAAAAAAATCAATGTGCAAGCACTTTTCCCATTAAGAATTTTTCTGTCCTTTGTGTAAATAGATACCAAGGAGTGCGATTGCTGGATCATATGGTAGTTCTGTTTGTAGATTTTTGAGGAATCTCCAAATTGTTCTCCACAGTGGCTGGACTAATTTACATTCCCACCAGCAGTGTAAGAGAGTTCCCTTTTGACCACAACCCTGCTAGCAGTTGTCCTTTTTTTTTTTTTTTTTAAATCTTAGTCATTCTGACTGGGGTTAGGCTGTGTCTCATTGTTGTTTTGATTTGCATTTCCCTTACATTGAAGGATGTTGAGCATTTCTTCAAATGCCTTTTGGCTATTCATATGTCCTCTTTAGAGAGTGTTTTTTTTCCAACTCATTCTCCCATCTTTTAATAGGGTTGATCATCTTTTTTGGAATAGCTGCTTGAGTTCCTTGTGTATTCTGGTTACCAGTCCCTTATCTGATGTATAGTTTACAAAAATATCTTCCTATTCTGAAGGCTGTCTATTCACACTAATTACTGTGTCTTTTGCCATGCAAAAACTTCTTAGTCTGATGTAATCTCACTTGTCTATTTTGGGGATTATCAACTGTGCTTTGGGAGTCTTATTTAAGAAGTCCTTGCCTACCCCAATGTCTCCCAGAGTTTCCCCAGTGTTTTCCAGGAGCACTTTTATAGTTTGAGGTCTTAAGTTTAGATCTTTGATACACCTTGACTTGATCTTTGTCAAAGGTGAGAGATAGGGGTTTCTGCAGGTGGAAATCCAGTTTTTCCAGCACAATTTGCTGAAGAGGTTTTCCTTTTCCCACTGGATTGACTGGTACCTCCTGTTAAAAATCAGTTGACTGTATGTTTGGGGATTTATTTCTGGGGACTCTATCTGTTCCATCGGTCCACCTGTCTGTTTCTGTGCCAGTACTGTGCTGTTTTGATTACCACAGCTTTGTAATATATTTTTGGGTCAGGGAGTGAGATGCTGCCCACTCCACTCTTCTTGTGGAGGATTTCTTTGGCAATATGAGGTCTTTTATGATTCCAGACAAACTTTATGATTGTCTTTTCTAGATCTGTGAAGAGTGTGTCTGATACTTTGATTGGGATTGCATTAAATATGTAGATTAGTTTGGGTAGAATTGCCATTTTGATTATATTAGTTCTTCCAATCCAAGAACATGGGATGTCCTTTTAGTTTTTTGTGTCATTTTCAATTTCTTTTTTTAGCTTCTTGTAGTTTTCCTTGTGGAGGTCTTTAACTTCTTTTGTTAGATTTATTCCTAAATAGCTTAAGCTTTTTTTTTGGAGAGGTTTTCACTATAGGGCGTGTGCGCTTGCCAGACGGACTGAGAGAGACCTAGAGACAGAAAGCGAGAAATCACCCCCCGGGGGGATGGTCACGCAGCAATCCCTTCTCCTCCATTCTCCTCTCGGGATCTTGGGCACGCACGCACATGCGCCTGGCATGAGCTTTAAGCCACCGGGTCCAGGACGTGAACCGCAGTCAACTACGTGGGAGTCCAGCGACATAGCCATTATGCTAACTGCTGGTTCCCAGTAGTTTAAGCTTTTTGTGGTTATGGTAAATACCATAATTTTTTCAGTTCTATCTCAGTCTGCCTGCTGTTCGTATATGGAAATGCTATAGATTTCTGGATGTTAATTTTGCATTTTGCAACTTTGCTGTATCATTTATTACTTCCAGGAGTTTTTTCATGTATACCATTGGGTCTTCTATGTATACAATCATACCATCTGCAAACAGAGAGTTTCACCTCTTTTTTTCCTACTTAAATGCCTTTTATTTTATTCTCTTGTCTGATTGCATTGGTGAGGATTTCCAGTACTATATTGAAAAGGAGCGGAGAAAGTGGGCATTCTTGTTTTGTACCTGTTTTTAGTGGAAAAGCTTTCAGCTTTTCTCCATTCAGGATGATGTTCACTGTGGGTTTTTCATAGATAGCTTTTATTGTTCTTATCTGATGCCAACACTGACAAAAATCTGTAAGTCTGTGCAAGAGAAAACACATAGAGTATTGTTTCTTTGTGAAAGACACTGAAGTGGTTCTCTCTACAATACTTTTCTTATGGACCCATATTTTCCAAGTGAGATAAGTTATACAAAATGCAGCATTTATGATTTAATCTCTGTTATGTAACATTCTTTGGAATAGTGTTGAAATGAGATAAGAGGGTTAGTTTGAATTTGTTCTCCAAAGTTTAAGAGAATTATTTTTTCAAACTTACCAAAAATAGGGGTGAAGTCATTATTTTTCTTCATATTATTCAATGTCAGTTTATTTTGGTTTAGTTTCATTTATTGACACTTCAAATTAACCAAAAAGTGTCTCCTGCGTGAATGTTTTTCTGATAATTCTATAACTGGTACATTACCTAAATTCTGCAGAAATCCAATTCTAGTAGTGTGATAGAAAATAATACTGCAACCAGCAGTTAATGAAATGGCTGTGTCGCTGGACTCCCATGTAGTTGACCGCAATTCGAGTCCTGGACCCAGTGGCTTAAACTCACACTGTGTGCATGTGCATGCGTGCCCAAGATCCCGAGAGGAGAATGTAGGAGAAGGGATTGCAGTGTGGCCATCCCCCCGGGGGGAGCGGTGATTTCTCGCTTTCTGTCTCTCTCTGTCTTTCTGGCAAGCACATGCACCCTATAGCAAAAACCTCTCCAGAAAAAGAAAAAAAAAAAATAAAGAAAGAAAATAATTGTATTAACAGATGTGGAAAATAAAGACAATATTTGTACTCTATAACAGCCCCAAATCCACACAATAGTAAAATTGAAAACTCAGATGCTTATACATGTTAAAAACATGACTCAGTTTCTCAGTATATAGGCTACTAATGTTTACAGACATCCTTTATATATAGTGCTTGCTCTTCAGGAAGAGAAGAAAAGAAAAAGAAATATATATATGTTGTGTGTGTATTTCTTTTTTTAACTATATATATATATATATATATATATATATATATATTTTTTTTAAAATATACATATATTTTAACTATATATTACATATATGTGTGTGTGTATATATGTGTATACACACACACACACATATATATATATATATATTTCTTTTTGTTTTTAACTAGTCACAGGTTCTTTTAGTAAGATCTCAATAGATGACCAGATTTAAAAATTTCAGATAGGAAAAGACTCGTATCAAATTTATCAGAATGAATTATATTTGAGAAATCTGGGAAAAATATTTAAAAGTTGTGGCTTAAAATATTTAATAGCATGAAAATTACTGGTGT